CGCGGCGGCGGCACGCTGACACATTATTTAAACGGAATGGCTTCGACGAACTGGATGGATGACGAACGAAAGTCAGGCGGCGTGGAATAAACGGTTAACTATTACTTTTTAATTCTTTAAAGCACCAACGCAATATGCTAGAGTGTTCAAGTTAATCGAAAAGATCCATTGAAATACCAAAGTCAACAAGATTATGACATGCCACTCTCGTAAATAAATGCAAAACTCAGAGGTTCGTCATAGCTGAACCACTCCTCGGGTGCGTCACCCTGGTCAACTTAACTCAGTTGTTTCGGAAGTGGCTTTCATGAGCCACTCATACACCGTCCGGCTTTAAACACGTGTAAGGAAAGACAAACATGAACGGACGACAAGGAGTGACGTCCGGGAAGCCGACCCAAGTTACCGGCTTCAGCGGCTGCTGCGGAGGCAAATCGGGGCGACGCAACAAAAGAAGATAAACAACAGAACAAGCAGTCAGATGGGGAAACAATCAGACGAGTTGATGGATCAGCTTTTCACCGCATCGTAAGTTAGTACTTCCCGAGGGCCAGGGAAACATTAAAAGTCAGAGCAATGACAGGTACGTAATTATTTTAGTAATTTTCCAGGGATAAGCGCATTTCAACATAAATGAAGAGCAAATAAGTAGGCATTAAATAAGAAAGAAAATTGCTACCACATGACATATCTCAGCGTAACACGAAAAGTTCATTCAATGAAATTAAAAATAACTTGGTGGGAGTGGCAGCTTATCCAAATTAATAACGGCTCTGTTGAAATGTTGCCTGACAAGGATATCTTATTCACAACTCATCAATGTAAAAACCAGCCGCGACTAAGCTTTAGCTTCAACTTTCACTTAATAGCTGAGCTCGAACCTGCAGCCACAGCTTGAGCTTAAGACACGGTTACCTGGCAAACTACATTATACAAAATGCTCAACGCATATCTTTCGACTTAAAAAAGGGTTGGTTGCACTATATCCAACGCTATCTCACGCGTATCAAAACTTAACTGGGCCAAATCTCCGTTCGACACAGATATTGATGCTAAGGACCTCTTCAACCTCTTCACGCACAATTGGAAGAACGAGGGTTCCGCGGCCAGAAATGTGACCGATCTGAAGTCAACAACCCCTCACCTTTTACGGGCGATTTTCCAGCCCAGTGGGCACGGCCGAGCGAGACGAACGGTCCCGATGGCCGCGAGGACAAGCCGGGAGCACGGGAGGACCATCCCGGAAGACGGGAGGACGGGAGGACCAGTCGGGAAGACGGGAAGACTGGGGGATGACGGGAGGACTATCCCGGAAGACGGGAGGACGAGAGGACCAGCCGGGAAGATGGGAGGACCAGTCGAGAAGACGGCAGTATATCGGGAGGATGGGAGGAATAGCCGGAGGCGTGCCGGTTAATAAAATACAAAGAGGTCAGAATAACCCGCGCACGAGCATAAAATCGGTTTAAAGGTAGTGTGCCACCTTTAAAAGATTTCCCATTTTATTTTTCCTAGGATTAGAAGCTTCTGTTTTTACCTAATATCGCAAAAAAAATCAAAAATGGGCCTGGAATAGTGCTTTTTTCGCCTAAAAGTTTATCGGTTTTTCGATATGTATAACAACTGTAGTGGGCTCACCTGCAAACAGGCGTCGGCAACAATCGCGAATGCGGCGCACATGTGACAATAAGCAAAGGTCATTATAGAGTTACGACGTACGGAAATGAGTTATCAGCTGTCTAATCGTAGACAACACAATGTCGAACTTAAACTGTAAGCCTGTATTGGTATTGTTTCTTTAATTTGGCTGTCGAACATTAATTTATGGTTTGAAATATTATTTTCTGTAAAATAATTGATATGAAACAGCCGTCTCTAAAGTTATGACCCCATCTCACCACATGAAAGTGGCAGAAATGACAATGATCAGCTGACGCATTTTTCTTGGCCGAAGTCAGAGCGCGCGGCCCGACGCACCACCACCGCACCACAAAGTATGAGCAGAAGCTGCGCCCAAAGCCAGGGCCCCGGTAACGTGAGGTAGCCGAGTCGGGGCAGCGTGCGCTGACCCAAGCCGGGGCCGCGGCTTTGGGCGCGGTCTACCGCATCCCCGCGGGCAGCCCCGGGCTATCACATGACACCGGGAGGACGCGCGGCCCCGGCTTGGGTCAGCGCACGCTGCCCCGACTCGGCTACCTCACGTTACCGGGGCCCTGGCCTATAGCCTTGGCCCTGGCTTTGGGCGCGGTCTACCGCACCACCTAACAGGCGTGTTCGAAACCGCAGGAGATGATGATGAACGGGTTTATCGAAACTTGATTGGATGAGTCTATCGGTAATAGCGATTTCAGTGTGTGCATTTATTGTTCATAGTGGTGTGAAATGTGGTTGGGGTACGACCGACAACCCGTCGGGGCGAATTTCGCACTGGGGTACTCAAAAGACGTTTCCATGAGTTTTGAAGGTATGGATAAGTTCTAAAAATCCGGTTCTCCTTATCTGGGCCATTAACTCCATACGGTCCAGGAAAGCTGGCACACTACCTTTAATGAAAATGCCTGTTGTCCTTTAAATCCAGACATAAGTCGTTTTACGGAGCTCCGAATAACAAGATATCTGTTATGATGTGACAAAACAGAATTTTGACAGCACAAAAGAATTTTGACAGAACTGCCCGAATGGTGCAATCGAGTTGCTAACAGGCCGTTTGGCGATAAAGTGACATCTAACCGTACACAAGTGACACATCCAACTACTGAGGTAGTCGAGCCATGTTTCAGTCACGCTTCTTCAAACAGAAGCGATGTCGGAATGTGACGTGGAGAAAGGCGCTAAACATGGAATCCTTTGTAAGCGTCAAGCTTAGCGAGGATTCGTGTAAAAGTGAAAAGAGACTGGTCACGGGCAAGTGACAAATGGTCTTTTCAAGCGAACCATCGCTTCCGTTTACAGTAAAACTGAGTTCATGCTTTCTGATGCTCATCTCAGCTCGTTACATCAAACATCAGGCTTCAAATAATGTCTCACAGTCGCAAACAACTGCCCGAAAATAAACGTAAAACGATGAAGGCGATCCATCGCGGATCTCGCGCTGTAGAATTACGCCAGTGTTGTGAAGATGCTTAATGCACAGACTGTCGGCTCACTGCTCAGCTCGGAGCAGGTTCAGGGATTATTCTGGAGACCATGAGCTCAGCAGTCACCTGCTGGGCTGTGGAGAGCCTCTATGTCTGTCCAGATCCACAGAGCATCAACATAGCTCAAAGTGGCCTCTTGGATCCCACAAACTACCTGTTCTACGCAACTCACAAATAAATCGTTGCATGCGCGCAGCTTTGTTAGACTACGCTCTGCGGAAACGAACTCGAAAACAAGCGGTCTTTTCTGCAGCTTAGATTTGCTGTAGATTAAAACGATCCCGTCACATACAATGGGGGCCACAAATAATCAGAGGAGCCATCGGTAGAGAACGAACGTCACATCGACAGGGTGCACCACCTTATTGGAATATCGCCCAATCTTACCGTTCGTATTTGTCTGCAGAGTGTAAGTTGACTTATGTTAGTTCATAGAACGAGGATAGATGTTGCCGTTTGGACGACAATATAATTTATGACACTGATATCCAGTATACCTCACAGCTTTCAGCGCGAGTTTAGTACCACCTTGACTTATGTGCAAGGGACCCTTCCAATTCCAGTTTACCACAAACGGATCGTGAGCTTAATTTTTAATATTACTGGCATGAAACAACGTCATTTGATCCTGCATAAGAATCCCAAAACGTGACCGGCACTACAAAACAAAGGACGACGATCATCAACAAATTCAGCGGACTGTGCCTCCGAATGATCAAATCACAGCCATCTCTGCATTAGACATCAATATAACGGTTATATCTTTCACATTTTTGCAGGAACTTTTCCGGAAGTTTGGCCTTGCAATGGGAACAGAGGCCTCAGATCGGTGCAGCATTCCATTCAGCAGCCGCCAGATCCCGCTCTGCTCTCACGCCGATCACGAGTGAGCCTGCCGAGTGACGGCTATCTTCCAAAAGGCCCGCACAGGCTCCCATACGTGACCTCCAGTGCCGCCCGGCTATCGATGGCTCTCAGTTCGACCCATGGCACATCACTATCGGCACATCAGTGGCGTCAGTGACGTCACACGTCATATGCCGAGGCCAATCGGGAGCGGCGCGAATAGTGCGGTATCGGAACCAGTATGTATGAACTCACAGTGCCGGCTAAAATCGGCCCCCGGGCACACAACGGTCAGAGCATGGAGTAACGCGCGCCGATAAAGGCTAGCTAAATTTGGCACTGTGCTGGCAGGTCAACGTTCAGCTACCAACAAGTGAGACAGACAGACTGGACAGACGATCATTACCCAATCGCTCATCCAAACGCTGATCGCCCCCGCATACCTCCACTGGTGTCATCAAACTCGATCGTATAATTTACGCCGGCCGCGGGGCAGCCGTAGCAAGCGTAATTGGAAGGTCGGCATGCGCGTTATGACACCGGTTTGACCAGAGCGAGCCAGCGTGCGTCGGCATGCACCGCATGCAGAGAATGGGATGCAGCTGAGCAGAGGATCAACGACAGACGAGGCACGCGCGGCATGAGGCAGGTATCTGACGGGATTGCATGACTGACAGGGGAAGAGTAGGAGCGCCGTCGCTGCATCGCTGGAAGGCTATACGCGAACGGACCGCGAGTCATGCGGGGCTGAAGGATGTCGAGTTTTATTGAGACGTCTCGCGCTGCGGGTATCAGTTGACGTGTGTCAATCCAAGTCGACAGTCGGGTCAGCATTCTGACACCGAGCGGCCGGAGGAACCTAACGCCACGCGTGTTGACATGAGCGCTGGGTCACAGCTGACACTGCGACACCTTGAGAACGCCAACACTGACACGGCAGTGGCGCCTGAGCTGACGTGCTGACGTGTCCAGCAACGCTGACCCGGGACGTGCTGACCGGTGCTGACCGCTGCTGACCAGCGCTGACATGGCGGAGGCAGCGTGACCCGCCAGTCGTGCGTAAATTCGCTAGGATAGACCCCTAACATTCGGCAAGCCGCCCTGACCAAAGTCGTGCCCCCGTGAGGGTGGCCTTGGTCGAGCCATGCGCAGCGCCGCGGTCCGACCCAAAAATCACCGCCCCACCACTGTCTGTCACTGCGGACCTTCGCATGACGCCGGCGCCGCCAGCCTGCAGCGGTTGACGGATCGGATGACGGCCCGTCACTGAAACACGTGTCGTCCAATTAGGCGCACTAACTGACGCGGGACGTATAAGGCGGCGGCAGCGCAACGGCGCTTAGCCCACTGAATCAGGTGGACCAGTCACTGTGCACTGGAAGAACGGCTTTGATCAGTGGATCAGGGCGGATCGGCAGCTTCAGACCGCATGAGAATCCAGACGATCAGGGTGAATCATAGCTATTCAACCAATTGAGAAACAAACATCACACCGTGGCCAGAACTCATCTGCAGAGCGTAAGCCTCCATGAGGTACAGTTAATCACGCTAGTCCTTGTCATCGGATCTGCCGTGCCTTTTGAGGAGCTCTGCGAAACACCGGCACAATCTCCAAGAAGCCGCCACTTGGTGCCGCGTCTGAGCCTCTGTGGCAGCGTTCAGAGGCCCGCCACCAGGACTACTCGAGGCCGACCCGCCGCTGCCGCGCCAGGGCGGGGCTTTCGTGGCTCACGCGAACTTCTGATAGGGCTCAGATTGGAGACCACCCTGCCCGGCGGTTAGATCCGGCGTGGTCGGCAGAGAGCGGTGTCCTTCAGACAGCAGAGCGGCCGGTTTGATGTGAGGCACGCTGCCGGGTTGGGGTGGGAGGACCTGGCGCCCACCGCCGCTGGCTGGAGAGACTAGTCAAGGGCGCACGGCCACGCGCCGGAGTTCCCTCACTGTCAGGGGTACTGACATGGAGTTATCTGGGTGGCCTCCGCGGTCGTCGAGCTCATTCACGAGAGGGCACTGAGAAATGGACCCGGTCGACCAAACGCTTAGTTCCCGTCACTGGGCGGGCAGACCACGGGAGGCCCGGCCGGGAGCCCGCCACCTCGCCGAGCGAAATCGAAAGGATGACGGGGTACAGAGGCGACGGAATTAAAACCACACTCCACATCCGGCGCTCAATGTCTGACAGCGGTGCTGTGCGGTTAGAGAGACGCAGGCGCCGCGCCGTAGGGCTATTTCGGTAAGTAGGCATTTAGCTAAACTTCGCACATTTATCTTGATTGTCGACGAAAGCTGGCCGGTATTAAGCACGTCGCGGATGTGTTTGGTTGGTAGCGTCGCCGGCAGCAAAACGGTCAGGTCACACTTGGGTCGCTGGTGGGTTTCGTCGGGATTGTTGTGGTCGATTGCACAAAAAAGAAGCGTGAACTCTTCTACCTGTCCCAACATGTGTCGCTTAGCACACTGAGATTACAAATATATCGACAGCCACAGCGCGCAGAGAAGCTGGTCTTTTGACGCTAATCCTTCATGTTGCAGCTACTGATCCGACTTGTTTTCTCGACAAGAGGATCACGCATCTTAACATTGTTTTACATCGATATATGATGCTGTGGGCAAACATGCCGTCATTATCAGCTTAGAATTTGTTATCGGGCGTTTAATGGGCTTAGAGCCCTGTGGGTCGACGTGGGTAGTTTGACCACATCATCCGATAAAAATCCATGAGGCAATCGGCACCGACAGGAACATGGAGAGCTTGTGATGGCCAAATCAGACACAGCCTTGGCAAAGTCGTAGTGCCAACTGCAGTAAATCATTTGCCTGTTCTTATTCGGGGACAGGCGACAGCATCGAACCCCGCTCTAGCTACGGTATACCCATATATAACAGCAAACATTAGATCATCGATATATGGTAATTATATCTCAAATGATAAACAATACGACAAACAATGCCAGCAGCGGAATGGAATGGAATGATATAATGTTAATTTTTCCAAAGCATGCAGGGGAGAAATAACCTCTAATGGCATTATCAGCACCCATAATTTCATTTGCAAACAAACGCCGGTTAGTAAACGCAAAAATATTTTCCGGAGATGAGGCTGTGAAATCTTGCACTTCTTATTCACTAATTGCTCCAATTCATGTAACCACGACCCCGCATTCCTGTGCCCACATGGGACGGATGCCGACAGGTCCTGTACATTGGCGGCATCCCCAATCTTCGACCATTGAACGTCGCATTCCATATTGACAGTTTGGGGCGCCACATGGACCAGAGTAGAGGTCTGCACCGGCCGGCTGCAGCCGCGGCTGGCTGCAGCCCCACGGCTGTGGGCCGGGGCGGCTGCAAATATCTCCAAGAACACGGCTACGGCTGTGGCCACGGCTGTGAGATTTCAAGCTCAATCTTAAGTACTCAAATATAAAATTTTAAATCCTTAATCTTACATTCTGATAAGCAGCCTAGCCTGTAAAAATCATGCAAAGGATGCCCAGCAATATTGAAAGTGGTGAAGCCTTTGAAAACCTGTAATGGTTTTACCATTTGCTGTAGAAGAGTTTGCACTCTGGTACAGAATACTAATTATAGGCACCAATTGTTCCTTCATCATCAATAGCTTGACAGTTTCAGAAAATGCAACATGTTGCTGTCACATCCCCCTCAAATCAATCTCAATCTTACCTGGTCATTAGGAGAGCACCTTACAGCTATTGAAGATGAGCGTTCAATAATTCTTTCAGGTAATAGAAAAAGAAATCACGCCTAGGTAAAGGCAGGTAAAGGCTTCATAAAATATTATCTAAAATAACTCTTAGATGTACTTCTGGATTTTCGGCAAGTCCAATTACATAATATAAAACTGGCGCTTTATGTTCTAACTGGCGTGTGAGTGACCGCTAACAGAAAATGCTGATCAACGAAGCCAATGGAATTAGATTATAAGTGAGTATGAACCTTATTTACGGTTAATTCACATGATGGTGGAAACCCTGAACACGTAATTCACATGACGGTGAAAACCCTGAACACAATATTTCTTACGCGAGCTGTTGATTTTACTAATATAATGACGTCTTCCTCTAAAAATGTAAAAATTTGATAATTGATATTTGTTTGAGAGCAAATTTTTAACTGTATAGCATTATTATTGATTAATTATGATTTCTATGGCTGTTTATGGTGACACAAAACAATTTATTGCCACTTCTTTGCTTTTTACGTCATTTGACTCAAGTAAAATTTTTGATTGAAAGAGCAATCGCACGTCCTTGGGGATTTGAGCGAAGATCATTATTTGGAAAAATCAAAATAGATGAATGTTTTTCTTTCTTGGATGCTCACTAGTGTTTTGATGCCTTGCATATCAAATTAGTTGGAGACTTGCTCAGAAGGTTGCTTCAAGCCTGGCATATCACACCCCAGAAAATATGCAGGGTAAGAAAGAAGCAAGAGTTTTGACTAGACAATCACTGTTTGTCCATCAACTTCAGTTTCATTTTCCATACCTAACATTGATAATGAAAAGCATCAGGGTCTGTTGTTCTGTCCCACAACCATGCTTCAGGATTTGGCATTAGATGTCTATTCTACACTGCTAGTGCTTCTATTCTGGTTCGTTGTTTATGTTTTCTGTTGATGTAGGTACCTACCTTACCTAACCTACCCATCTTTCTTAACCCCTTGCAAGGGCTTGTGTAGGCATGCGATGCGCATCAGGCTTCAGGCCTTCGGCCTAAAGCCAGATACACAACCACTTAGCCTATGATGCTTCATGAGCTTGAGAATCTATAGCCCATTGCAATGTGCTTTTGGCTATATGTTTCAACTAAAAACAACTTATTATATACTATTTGGTTGCATTTCATCACGGCCGGCTGACGGCTGGCTGCCCACAGTTTGCCACGGCTGTGGGCGGCTGTGGCTGTGGAGCCACGGCTGCGGGGCGGCTAGGCTGTGGAAAATTGCAGCCGTGCAGAACTCTAGACCAGAGGCAGCGCCCAAACTCTGCCGCTTATGGGGAGAGAAGAGGGCATTGGAGAGAGAGAGAGAGAGAGAGAGAGAGAGAGAGAGAGAGAGAGAGAGAGAGAGAGAGAGAGAGAGAGAGAGAGAGAGAGAGAGAGAGAGAGAGAGAGAGAGAGAGAGAGAAAGAGAGAGAGAGACGCTCCGCCGCGGTAGCTCCTTCGGGCCGGGCTCGAGCGACCTGCGGCCTGCGGATATGCCGAGTGGGCGGACAGTAGAGATCTTACGGACGATAGATGCTGTCTGGAGAGGATCCCCGGTCGGCACCCTCCAAGGACAGCTCAAGAGGCGGCCAGAGGCCCGATCAGAGCAGCTAGAGCGGCAGTGGCGGATCCTGGGGGGGGTCCACGGGGTCATGACCCCCCCCAAAAGGTCTGAGAGGGTCATTTGACCCCCCCCAAAAGCCGAAGACCTAAATGCGCTATAGACGCCGTCTTGCATGCTCAAAATCACATGTCAAACACTTCTGAGCTAATACCTTTGTTTTTCTGGATCGTGTTGCGTGAAAAGGCGTATTGAAGGCCAGAATCTTACTCATTTTTGTCTCAACCGTGCGAGCACCAGGGGATGATCCAGGAAAACTCCAAGGGGATGGTCATGAATTTAATTCGTGGTGCCCCTACCTATACGCAAAATTAAAAACTCAACGGATTTCGGCCACTTGTTACGGGCGGCTGTGACCGCCCGTTGTGGCATGCCTGGCGCCGCCCGTGGCGCCTCCCCGGCTGGCCGCGCCCGGCGCCGCCCCTGCCGCGTGGCCCTCGGGCGGGGTCGAGGGCTGGCGCTGGCTGGGCGGTCGGCGGCCCGGGAGAGGCAGGGAGACCGTGGTTACGAGCGGTTGGCTCTGTGGTTCTTGTTTGGGCCTCTGCCGATAATACAGAAAAGCATCGAGTCTGAGTGTGTTCAGCTCCCGCAATATTTGGCGCGGTCGGTAGGACCGGCGACGGCAACGGTGAGTCTGTTGTGTTATTATCGTTTGGCATGATTGTGTTTAGACTGTAGCCGAT